ATCCCAATATTTTGCAACTCGATATTTGACATGTATAGATGTTAAAATAACATTGCAAGCATTTTATAGTGTTCATCGACGTTTCAGTGATATCCTCATATATAAACAAGAATATCATAATCTTCTTAGAAGGTTTTTAGTTTTGATTTGATTGAATTTATTATATTGATGTAAATATTACTTGAACTCAAATCAAGACTAAAAATCTAACAAGATTATAATATTTTTTTGTATATATGAGAATATCTATTTTTGAGTTAGAATTCTTTTTCCGTGTATCTTTGGATCCTTTTCAATGTTAAAGACCGTGCTAAATACCGTGTCAATAATTGCGTTTCGCCTGTTTTGCCACATTTCTTGATTTTATTAAATATTAAAAAGCGAGACGAAAATCATTTCACGGAGCTGGCGAAACGAGCCTGCGAGTGCCGCGAGCGCGGCGTAACGTCGCTGAGTCGTGTCGAAGGTGCATAACGACGATTGGGTTTGGCCGGACTATCGCGCAACCCCGATGTGATGCACGCGGAAGCGAATGAATTGGGGGCGGCCTCGCGCCTGTGCGCGTCGAGGGTCGGCAAGCCGGACGCGAACTTGTTTCATTCCGCCGAGCTCTCGCCGTCACGAGATTCGCTCAATTACCAGGCCGCGGATAAATTACGAGCTTAACGCGAGAGCGGAGTCGCGATCGTCGGCAATCTGGACTGCCTGGGATCGGAATTTGTGTGTGAGCCACCAACCGAAATCTCCAAACGCGCCAGATTTCACGTGCAATTATCTCAACGCGGCGCACCGAACTCCTCCCTTTTCATCCCCGGCAGCGCAGTAAAGCGTAGAATTTTAAACTTGAACATATTCTCGCGCGAAAATACCTCTCGATCAAATTTCGCGTTTCCGAAGAAAGAGAGAGAGAGAGAGAGAGAACGAAACGTCGTTTGTATTACCGTGTCCTTTGATATCTCCTGACCATCTCCGCGGATTACTTTTTTTTACCCACCGTAGATTCTCGAATTCTTCTTCGCCCCGGAAGAATTATTTAAGCCGCCCTCTCCGACCCTGATCCGTGAACGGAGCCGAGTCGCGTCCGCGTGTACGCGCACGTGCGTCCGTGTACACGGGGTGGCGAGCGCCAATTTAACAGGGCACCGAGGCTACACGGCTACGCGCCGTACAGGCGCGCTTAAATCCGTATAAATACCCGAGGCTCATGAATCCGTCCATTAATCAGATTGGCGATAGGGGCTCGACGCCTGAGTGATTTCCACTCCTTCGCCACCCCGCCGACGGCGACGATCGTGCGGGTGGGGGAGGTGTTTCTTCTTTCTCTCTTTCTTCCCTTTTTTTCCTCTTCCTCGAGCGAGCTTCTCCAAAGGACTGCCTCCAGCACGGCTGGCTCCAGAGGTCACTGGAAGGTGACGGCACCTCCATTAAAATTCGACACGAACCTTCTGCGAGAATCCGATGTGTGCTGTGTCATGCCCCGTTTATAGCTGTATATATGTACCGGCGGTGTATACATATGTACGTGTACATGCGCCCCTAGGTACACCGTCGGTCGCTGCAAACGTACGGCACGAGAGAGCGCGCGGGACTCGCGCGCAAACGTGTGTGTGTGTGTGTGTATAGGTGCGAAGTCGGGGGAGGACTTGGCCTGCGTTTCGTGGGTTGTGAGAGGAATATCGTTTAGCCGTTCGCCCGCCCGAAATCCCCGTCGCGCCCCCGTCGGCAGCGAAGGATGAGGGAGACATGTGCGGAAGTGCCGGAGCCAATTCCGATCGCCCGTTTGCGGCTACCGCTGCTTACGACGACATTTTTAACGTTCGCTAACGAATCTTCGTAATTGTACGCGCGCGCGCGCGCCGATTTACTTCCGCGCGTTCCACAAATTTTCGCCATGGCGGCGATGGCGCTCCCTCGATTGTCGGGATTTATCTCACGGCCACGGAGGACATCGCCAACGACGTCGTCCTACTTCGAGATTTCTTTTCAATCTTCGGCATTAAGTATCTCCCCCCGGTAACCGGGGAGGTCTAAAATGCAGGCTCCCGTTAAAGCGAGGTCTACTTGAAATTAATCGGGAGATTAAATCCTCTCTCTTTGAGACGATCCGTACTTCCGGGGTATAAAAGAAGCGCGTCGGCGCCCCGGGACGAATGCGAGCGAACTGACATAAATCAGCGATTTGAAAGCTGCAAGAGAGGAAATCTCATTCCGAAGATAAAACGCTCGTTTGTTCATTCGAACAAATCAGCGCACAGATACGAATTCCCAAACGGTGTCTCTCGCGCGATCTCGTTCGCAATTAGTACTGTCAATTTCGACTACCCGAATACCCGAGTCTTTCAGTAAACTAAGTATACGGCTAATTTCAAACAAATTATTGATTTTTCTAACGATACAGATAATAATAATGTCTGAAATTAGCCGTATATTCACACGGAAAAAAAGGAATTAATTATCCATATAATATAACTGAAATTTAGTTACGAGACTTAGTTTTTAGCTGCGAGAATTAAAACTACACTGAAAAAAAATGCTACATTCAAATAAATCATTATTCCAATAGTTCTGAACAAATTTTTACTTGGATTAAATAAGTATTACTTGAATTTAACACTTTTTGATTACATTCAAGTAATATTATTTACTTGGTTCAAGTAAAATTTATTTAAGCCAAGCAAAAATTTTTGTCGGAAGTGTTGGGGTAATTATTTACTTGAGTGTAGCATTTTTCAATATATAGGTACAGAGGCAAAAAATTAGTTAAATTAATTAAATTCAGCCAATATTATGTGGACAACTAATTTTTCATTGTGGGAGCTAGTTTTTAGCTGTAGGAGCTAATTCTTTTCTTCCATGCAATTACTGAAAGACTCGGGTACCCGGGTAGTCGAAATTGACAGCAATATCCGCTTCGAACAATCCTCACACGTCGAAGAACGATGGGACATCGTTCGCGCGCATACGATCGCGCTCGAATAATTCATAATCTCGTAAATTACTCCCTCTCGGCCGCGGGAATGCGCATGCATCGCGCCAACGTCGGTCGGTGGTGCGCGAAGACTCGCTGCGGTTTTCTCGAATGCCGTCGACAACGACAAAGATAAAGTTTATCTTGAGCCGCGCGCAACCGCGGGAGGCCGCTGCGTCGAGTAGTTTACGATTTTCACGGACTTGCATGCTAACGATACTCTTCATATGGTTTGCCATGAATCTTATCTCGCAGAACTGTGTGAAGTAACTTAGCCGGGGCTACGCCGGTGTTACGCGTTTCAACGTTCTGCCACGTAATTTGGTTATCTCGCGCCGCGTATCGCGATTGTACACACCCCTGAAATTAATTCCGTTAAAGCTCGGTATTAATCAGTACGCGGCGAGAAAAAGATGTGATCTCTCTCTCTCTCTTTTTTAACGAACTCGCCGCTTCTGTCGCGTTAATATTCAACGCCGCCGGTAATCTGTGACGCGTGCAGCAATTTGTGTGCGTATAATAAAAGGGAATCCAAATTGTCGACAAATTCATCGATCTTGCTTGACATTCTGCTTGCTCGTTCGCAATTTTTTTTTTTAACGCCTTATCCGCTCGGAGCAACGCGATTACATTGTCATGTCCTCCCCCAAATCTAGCCGTATCGCGTTCAAGGTTGCGCTTCGCATGCAAATTCTCGATTACTTCTCGCGCGACTCTCATTCATCTCTCTTTCTCTTTCTCGCCCGGAAATTTCCCGCGGATTTATCGGCTCCGAGGACAAAGGCGTGAGACGTACGAGTCGGCGATTTGTCAACAGTGAGAATTATTTGGAACGACGCGGCGAATCCGCGGAGGGCCGGATAACAGTCGATTATCTCGCGGCGCGGGTTCGCCGACGCGGACTCGATGTTAGTTTCCACAACGACAACAATCCCCTCTCGCAAATGTCTATTTCTCTCTCTTTTTCCCTCCCTCACCCCTTCCCCTTCTCTCTTTCTCTCTCTGCGTTTCCTACCTTCTCTTTCTCCATACATACATCTGCCGCGGCATTAATTTGCATCCTCGGTAATCCTTAATTTACAACCCCAACGAGTCCTCCTGGGGGTATCTGGCTAGGTAGGTAGGTATGTAGGTAGGTAGGTACGTAGGTAACGAACAGCACATCGCGCGAGCTCCACACAGGAATTGGCACGGCGGTGCACACGCATACACCGCCGTGCGGAAAAGTGGTAAGTAGACGTAGGTGCGCGACGAGGAGGTCGCCAGAGAGGGTGCGAGCGGGACGGCGTTGACTAGGTAGTAGCAGGCGGCGGAGGGTAGGTGGCGAACGAGGGGCGGTTGAGGGTGAGATTCGGCAGACACAGGCAGGGGCGGGTGCAAGGGGTAGAGGCTGTGGCTGGGGCCGGATAGTCGGACCTCGCCGAGAGGAAGAGAGAGAGGGAGAGAGAGAGAGTGATCGTCCTCATCGTCGGTGGTGGAGGTGGTGATAGTAGTGGTGGTGGTGCTGGAAGAGAGGGGTTAGTGGTGGCGTTGGAGGACTCCGAGGCAGTGGTGGAGGGGACTCTGTGTAGAGGGATGGCGAAAAGAGGAGAAGAGGGGCGACGGACGGAGGTCGAGAGTCGCGGGTTGGCTCACTCTGCGGCTCCCGCCGCTCGGGAGCAGACACGCGGGGCCAAAGACTAATTTGAACTATTTTATTAACAAAAACAAAACATTACATATTTGTAAATAACACTAACAACTGTAAACACGAAAGCAACAACAGCAACAACACATTTCTCCTAAGGACTCTCTTTAAATCTACCTTACACCCGTAAGACAACCGTCTGTATTCGGAAAGGGGAAAAGGAAAGAAGGAAGAAGCGAAGTGAAAGAGAGCGCGCGCGGCTGGAGAGAGAGAAAGAACGAGAGAGAGGGAGAGAGAAAGCGAGAGAGAAAGAGAGTGCGAGAGCGAAAGAAAGAAAGAGTGAAAGAGAGAGAGAGAGAGAGAGAGAGGGAGAGAGAGAGAGAGAGAGAAAGAAGGGGGGAGAGAGAGAGAGAGAGAGAGAGAGAGAGAGGGACGTACGACAAGGAGGTAACTCCATTTCCGGTTTTTCCAAGTGAACGTGTAACGCACACACGCATACACAAGCAGTACACGGTAAACAAGCTACAAAAGAGTCAAACGATAGAAAGATCATCTATTTTCTCAAGTTGTTCCTCGATCGGACGCGGGTGCGTGGCGCGGCACGACGAAAGAAGAGGACGAGACGAGAGTTTAAAACGCGAGAAAGATCAGTAGAGAGATCGGGAGGCGAGAGCTACGAGAGATCGTGTGAAAAGATCGCGTCGGCTGCCATACGGGACGGATATCGCAATATATTTTAAGTTCTCTCTGTACTGTGTGACCCTTACATTATTTTGTCCCCCCGATGGGGACGGGTTCGGTGTTGTAACTTAGGATATAAGAAGACTAAAAAAAGAGCTCCGGAGCGCACAACAAAAAGGGAGAGCAAAGGGTGGGATTGGCATTCCGGAAGGAAGAAGATTAAGAAGAAAAAGAAGAAGAAGACAACGATTGAGAGGAGAGGAAGAGTGTGTGGTTGTGAGAAAGACTGAAAATCTATCGGAAAACCGTTCACGAAGGAAAGGGTTGGGTCTGAGGTGGCGTAGACAAGGCGGAGTAGGAAAGAGAAGAAAAAGAGGAAAACGACTGGAGGAAGAAACGTTCGCGAGAGAAGGATGGCTCCGGGCGTCGCGTAGAGAAACAATGGAGTTCCACTTTTTTATACTAGCTGAAGAACCTAAGAAAAAAGCGTGAGAGGGAGAGAAAGAGAGAAAGAGTGAGCGCGCGCGAGAGAAAAAGCGAAAGAGAGAGAATCAAGGAGAATACACACGACGCGGGGCGGAAGATCGATCCCGTCCGTATTTCCGCGTGCACCTCCACGTGTGTCCTTCGTTCGGTGCGGCGAAACCGCGAGAGAGGTGAAGCTCGATCTCCGCCTCGATCCCTTTCGCGCGAGCCCTCGTTCCCGCAAGCCGAGGAAATCGGGAGGACACGTCGGGGGGAGGGAGGAGACCAGGAAAACGGAAGCGACGGAAGCCGAGGGACCGTTGGGAGCACGCTCGTGACACACTCGTGACACAATCGATCGATCGTGACATCCGGTTCCGTTCCGCCGAAATAAGACACGATCACGGCTCGCGTGCACGCTCCTCCGGAGGATATGTCCTGCCGTTCCAGAGGGAGTCCTCGTCATCCGGGAGCGCAACCCTCACGCTGCGTACAACGCCAATCCGAGTGCCGTCCCTGCGTCCTGGAGCCGGCTGCAGCTGGCAAGCTGTCCTGACGAAAATCGGGCCACCATCGCCGCCTCCTCCTGCTCAGCTCGTCCCGTTCGACGAGCGACGACGCGATCGTCCAGCGAGAACGACGACGCAATCAACAACGGCAGATAGCCGTGTCATCAGGTACGCGATCATCGTCCAAGCGCGCGGGCCCGCCGAGAAAAAGGAAGGTCCTGGGGATGCCCGCCAGGGCCCAGCCGCGCAACCGAGTCGTCTACGCTCAAGGACGATGACGATCGGCCGCGATCGGTAAGATTCAGGCAGCGCGAGCTCGCGCGACCACCACCGCGGAGATGGCGGGCTACAATCACTCGAATCCACAACGTGTCGTCTACCACGCGACCTACCCGACGCCCCTCGCTCCAAGTGAGTTTATCTGCTGCTTACGCACCTGCTAGAGAGAGAGAGATATGCACTCTCGTCCATTTTGCTGAAGCGATGCGTCGCGGCTTGTTACTGGGATCATGTGTACATATACAGGGGGAGGGGGGAATCTTTTGCACGGAAAAAAGTGTTTGGTTTAATCTACTTGACGCGATGAATAAACCAGACGTGTTTTGATGGAAAAAAACGAAATTCCCCCCTGCTTATAGGGAACCGAATTTTGAGTTCCAGAAATTCTGCTTCCTTCAACCAAAACACGTTTGGCTTGTTCATTGTCGGGTAAACTCAATCAAACTTTTTTTCGTGGTATCTTTGTTGAAGCGAAGTTAAAACGGTCGATTCAACCTCGAATTCTATTGCTTGCTGTCGAATGGCGATATGACGGATTATACGAGAGGTTTTAACGCGAAAGACGAGCTCGAAGATTGTTCTAAATCAGCTCAACCTATTTTCACTGAGAAACTAATTTGGTTGCATCAATCGGAAAACTGATAATCCAACGTGATTTGCTTGAAAGAAAGAAAAATTCTGGCTGTAAGAACAAAATGTGGCTCTTCTTCTTTTTCTTCTTCAGTGTCTTCGTTCCTTTCTGTTTGATGATGAGTCGAGCGAGTTTGTTTAATCCAAAAATAAGGAATGGGACTTTTCAATTAGTACTCTGAAACCTGGATTGCCAGATTTTGTATTTTTGAGCGCGGCGAACATTCTATAATTGCTTCTATAATTTTACAAATCGGACGTTATTAAATTTCTATAGCGTGTCGATACGTTATTGGCGTAATTGTCCAGCGCGACTACACAAAAATGAAATATTTGCGTCCTGCTTATAACCAACTAACGTCATGACGTTAAGAAGTTCGGGGCGAATACACATCAATGTGCTGTTAAGGAAGCCAGAAGACCGCGGCGAGTGAGCTTAAATATCATACTTATGATTGAAAGTTTAGTTAATGGCGCCTAGTTTCGGCAAGTTTCGCGAATCGATGAATATTGCATAGGGCATAGGCGACCGCAAGCTAAGCGCCGTTAGATAAATATTTGATCCGCCGTCGGATAATTCCCGCTAACTTCGGGTAGGAATTTCCAGCCGGGAACGTTTCGCCACCGAAGATAAAACTCGGCTTCGACTCGCTGTAACTCGCCACGTTTATTAGAGACAAGTTATTCGGAGAGAAACGCCTGGAATAGAGTGGGAAAGACGTGCAGGAGGGCTTCTTATTAATTAGCGCGGAATTTTCATCGCGTGATGATGTTTTCGCGGACCTACGGAAAGGTGCATTTCAGCGATGCTTATTTATTTCGTGCAACTAATTAAAGAGTAATGAGGTTACTGTACAAACTATACAATACAATACTTACTTTACAAAGAAACATTGAAAAATGGAAGGAACAGGAACTTTTCGATTACGATCGCAACTCGATTTCACATAACGCAACTTCTGACGTTTCGAAAATAATACCGGCCGAGCAGTGTTTGCTCCCGTTTTCGTCATTATTCGTCGACCAGCGTACCGTCGTTACTTCCCTTTTCTTTTCCTTTTTCGGGTAGGGGGGGGGGGTTCTCTCCGCAAAGGTACTCCTTCTAAGGAAATCGAAAGTAACGCGTTAGAGCAGTATCGAAAATTGCACATACAAGAGAACTTTATTATCTCCGTGACAACCTTACGACTTCCGACTACACGTCTTTTCAATTTTACGTGATAAATCGCGCGAAATGCAGAGACAGAAAAAAGAGAGAGGGAGAGAGAGAGAAAAAGAGAGGATCCACAGTTACAACGGCGGATTTATGCCGGTTTCGCATTTACATCGTAAAAGATGGCTTTAAAGATGCACACAATGCAATGATATTGCCGATACATCACTTGCAGGCGGAGGGGGGAGGGGCGGGGGGAAGTCTCGCGAGAGCGCAGATGTCCTGTGCGTAATATCAATAACATCGGGAGGAAATGCGAGCTGCAAAACGGAAGCGTTCCGTCTAGCAAATAGCAAGTCGTCGCTTGATGCCCCCGATGCAGAAATCTCGCTCCCGGATTCCAATAATTCAACGACATAATGTACAACACCCTCCTCCGGGATCTTTCACTGGGAGATATTCGCGTGAGGAATTACTACTTCCCCGCCTCTCGAAAATCGCGATGAATTTTCTATAAACCACATGTGTATAATGTATGAACGTGATAATACAGGTATCATAATTATTGCAATATCTTCTTTTTTGAGGCAGAACTTCTCCTTCACTTTGCCCCGAAACAATAATCTCACTTTTGCCAAGATTTCGGCGTCTATTTTAGCGAGAGGATATTGGGGATATTCGTATATTAATTTAAACTTCCTGCAGCTGCAATCGATACGAATTGGATGCTTATCGGAACGATCATTTCCGCCGTCTGCCTTCGTGCGTAGAAAACTCCTCGTTCCTATTTGAAAACAACAGTCGCGCAAACAGCCGGCCGAAGTTCTCGGTAAAAGTGCCGGCGAGTTTTTTGCATTCTAACGGGAGCAGGCAGTTCATAGCGTTCGTGGAAGGTGCAATCTATTACGAGTGCTATTTTACGGGCGAGCGTGCATATGCATAGCTTAGATCGATGGAACTTTTCGATCGGTTGTGTATAAACAGAGCTAATGACACGTGCACGTAATATTAAGGCGACCGACGACGTGTCGTGAGCAGCGCGCGAGTACCCGCGCGAATACCCGCCGGCCGGCGATAACGATCCTCCCGGGCTTTTTATCGATCCTCGCCGAAATTATTACGATTGATTAAAACAGCACGGGCTGCGCGCGGCCGACGAGAAACGGCACGGAATTTAGACTTCCCGTTCTAGCTGAGGTAAAGCGGGCTAAAACGGGCGGTAACAAATCGCCGCCACTTTTGAAAATCGATTGCTGCTTCCGTTCTAGCACCACGATCTTACGTGTGTCCCTTTCTTCCTTTCACCGCGTGCAGAGGGAACGGCTATTAATTCATATAATTTGTCATGCAGACGGCGACCCGATCAAGCTCCCGGAAAATCTGGAGACCCTGCCGCGGGCCGAGCACTTTCCAACTCAGAGGCATCGATGGAACACCAACGAGGTAAGCCGTCCCATCGGTCATTTTAGTTTAGACGTGATATTAAATTCACGGGTCAATGGAGAACACGACACGCAACCTAAATACCCAACGGTCCGTCCATCGATGTCATATTTCTCGATCGCATCGTGTGGGGCATCGTGTTAATGTTCCGTGTATATACCGTCACGCTGTCGAGCTGCAATTTCGCGTACCCTGTACGAATCGATTGTCGGATAGATAAACACGAAAATACGTGCGAGGAGGAAAAAAAGAGAGCAAGAGAGAGAGAGAGAGGAGGGGAAATCGGGCAGCGAAAACGCGGCGCTTCGCGGTAGAGAACGAAATATCCGGGATGTCTTCGCGTTTCGAATAAGTAATATCCGCGTGAGCGCACAGTAATTATATTCTTTCGCTCCTTTCTCTCTCTCTCTCTCTGTCTTTGCCTATCGATTGACATCAAACGTTCATTTCACCGTGTACTACATGGCCGAGTACTAACTAGCGTTAATTAGCGAGCAGTAATCCGGATTATTACGGTAACCGAGCAGAGCTCGGGTATGTAATTCCCGATGAATCGACGCGCCGAATAGTCGTCGGAAGTACGACGAAGTACGACGGGGGCATCCGCGCTACGTGGTGGTAGGAAACCGGGCCAAAGTACCAACAATGCGTTTTACATCCGGATACGCTCGCATTCTGGCTCTCCCTCTCGCATCCCTTGTCGCGATCGGGGCCACGTGGCCACGCGCGGATTCCGGTATTACCGGCCGATCCGATATTACCGGAATTCCGATGGACCATTTCGCGCGTCGTCCCCCTTTTTTCCGGCGTGAATTTTATCGCGACCTCCTATCCTCGTCCCCGCCACCGGCGGATGTATATATTTACGCGACCACGAGTAAAGTGGGAAGGTAAATAACACGGTGTACATCCGCGCGCGCGCGATCCGGTGGTCGCCGGCGGCTGTTCGCGGTCACAGACGATGGATGCAGAGCCGATGCAAGCCGGTGTGCAGCGTCCAGGCCCGACGCCGGGGATGTGATTGCGAGCCGATGAAGCTGGCCTCTTCCGAGAGACTGGATTTCGGCTGGATTTCGGGCGCGGCGAGCCTCGACCGTCCCGGTGAAAATCGACGTCGACTCCGGCGACAGGGAGATCCATCGTTCAATCTGATTTTGGATCAACCGATTATGTCGACGAGTTTCAAAATTACCGAGCTGTAAAACAACGATTCGCGATTCTTCGACGTTCGTGAAACGACGAGATACCCTGTTTCACAGGAATGATACGTTCCGAAAGCAGCGATTACCCGAGAGATTCATTATCATATCGCACCGGTGCGTTTTCAAATTACTCGGAGCGCCGTTTAGCGCTCGGATCGCGCGTTCATTCTGAAAAATCTGGCGAATTGATTAAAATAGCGCGCGCGGCAAGGACAGACTGCTATTTCAGCATTTCGCCGGAGGGTGTAAAATTCCTGGTCACGACCCTGACGACGTCGGTGTGTGCAACGGCGCGCCGTAGTGTGCAACGGCGAGGGTGCACGTACCCACACTGACGTGCGCACACACACCGATCCGCCCTCCCCACGCACACACTCGCTCGCGCGCGCGAGCAGCGCTGCACACGTAGCTGCTGGAGGTGCACCGATGCAGTCCACCGCTATACTCTGACCCAGGTCGGTCGGCCTCCGATCAATAGCTGGAGCCAGCGAGAGCTCGCAGCCGGCGGCGCTGAGCTTTTCAGTATCGCCGAACCGAACTCAATTGCGATCCCCGTGCGCCTCGCGCGACGACTATCATTGTAAACGATAATTCGAACGCCTCTACCTTTTCTTCCTCTCGCTGCCCCTTTCCCTGTTCCTTTGTCTTTCTCTCTCTTTCTCTTTGCATCCGTTACCTTCTGCCATTTCTCGCCCGCTTTCCTCACACACACATACGCGCTTGTTACTTTCTTCCTGAACCACCCTCCGGTAGGTACCGGAAATTAAAAGTTCCTGGAGAGAGGAGAGAGAGTCGTCGACACCGCCTTCTCTCAAGAAGTCCTCGAGCGGTGACGAGAAGAGGGGCTCCGCTTTATTCGCCTCTTCTATTGCCTTCCTTTCGCTACTTTGTCTGCCTCGCGTTCTCCGTCTCTACTGTTGCCGGCGCGTCGGTCTATTTTTTCCCCTTCGTGCATATATACAGCCGTCTCTTAGGCGATGGATATCGTTCGCTCGCTCGCCCGCTCGTGTACCCGTCTGTCTGTCGTTTCTCGTGTGAATCTATTAAATTTCCGCGCGATCCCGTTGCCCGGCTCGTCTCCGTTCCGAACTCGATTCTCCCGATGGTTCGATGAAAAGAATAAACGGATCCGACGGGGCGACGTTGTTGGATCCGGAGGAGTCAATTGCTTCGCGATAAGGTGACGTACGTACGTACGCATGATTGTCAGACGTCGGGGAGACATTCGCGGGGTGACACGACCAAAGTGGCGCAATATGCATCGGTAATGAGGTCAACGCAGAAGGGGCGAAATACCGTGTCACAGTGTTTGCCTTATCTGTTACCTATACTATCAAGTCCTTGGTCCTTCGAGAATTATCGATTGCACGGGCCAACAAATTTGAGCTTCAGTGAAGAACAGGAATCACGCAAAGTGATTTATACGAATGTTGATATGCCCTCCCCCGTGAATAGCACTGACAACTTCTTCCCGGCTCTGCGGCTATTTATAACCATTGATTAGATACATTTTATACGAGAGAGCGCAGCAATTTCATG